TGTATGTATGTATGTATGTATGTATGTATGTATATATGTATGTATGTATGTATGTATGTATGTGCGTATGTATGTATGTATGTATGTATGTATGTATGTATATATGTATGCATGTATGTATGCATGTATGTATGCATGTATGTATGTATGTATGTATGTATGTATGTATGTAAGTATGTATGTAAGTATGTATGTATGTATGTATGTATGTATGTTATGTATGTATGTATGTATGTATGTATGTATGTATGTAAGTATGTATGTATGTATGTATGTATGTATGTATGTATGTATGTATGTGTGTATGTATGTATGTATGTATGTATGTATGTATGTATGTGTGTATGTATGTATGTAATGTATGTATGTTTGTATGTAAGTATGTAATATAATGTGTGTGTGTGTGTGTGTGTCACATGTACTTGTAGTGGAGCGTTGCACGGGCAATGATATACCTCCAAATCTTGGTTCATCTGACTGTCGTCCATTGGTGGTACATCGAAAGCGTACACCACCGATTCCGTGTTGAGCTGCATGAGGGATTTCACTTTCGGCGTCGTGTTGCCCAACATTACACAGAACGTCAGGCAGTTCCAACCACCAAAGTTTGAGACCTGTATGTGAACAAAACAGGCATGATGAAGAAGATATGGTCAGAATTGGAGCACATTCTTGGAAAGACTGAAATGAATACCTTGCAACCCGAATTCGGTAAAGGTCTACGTACAATCTATTGTTGCTTTACTGAGATGTGACTCCCCGCACATGCATGGCAGGTGATCTCGTCGAAGCAGAGATGCAAATACGTAATGCCATACATCTCTATACATGTAAATATATGAAAGGCGCACTTTGAATTTTATGCCATTAAAAACATGTGCCTTACGAAACCTTGCAGCTACAATCTACGCACCTAGTAATACCCCGCACTAAGTCACAAAGAGACCCACAGAGATATACCCCACACGCACCTGGTTTTCCGACATGGCCAATGTCACCACCAATTCTGTGCCCACAGTGCCCTTCTTGGGCGACACGTTTATCAACTGGAACGTGGGAAACGGTGCGGCACCGCTCGTGAGGATAGTGCCGCCAGCATTCGTCGGGTTGTTGCTGCTTCTGTTGCCGCTGTTATTGTCATTGTTGTCACTGCTCATGCTGTTGTTGTTGTTGTTGTTGTTTGTATTCATACCCATACCTGTGCCACTATTCATGCCGAGCCCCATTACCATATTGATGTCCATGTTCATACCCATCCCAGCACTCGTATCTGCATTCATCGACCCGGTCACAGGCCTATTATACGCCCCCGCCAACGACACCCCCAGACTCTGGGCCAACATGCTCTGGCTCTGTTGGTTATGTAACATGGAATTTGACCTGCTTGCCTGTACACTCATATGCCCTTGCTGCTGCTGCTGCTGCTGCTGCTGTTGCTGTTGCTGTTGATGTGGCTGTTGTTGCTGCGGCTGGTGGTACATCATCTGTTGCTGGTTCACATTGTTCTGCTGTTGCTGTTGTTGCTGGATCATTTGTTGCTGCTGCTGCTGCTGCAGTGTGTCCATGCCATTCTTGAACTCCATGCCACTACGAAGCTGACTCTGTTGCTGAAACAGTGGAGAGGAGACTGCAGGGCTTCTCGTGTATCCTGCACCACCTGTACTAGACCGTCTGCTGGTTGTTTGAGAGAAATTCGGCCCCGAGAGTGTGCCTGTAGTGAGCTCACGATTCTGTGGCGTTCCTGTGGGGCTGATCTCTGTGCTACTGCCAGCTGTATATGTTTGTATGTATGTGTGTATGAGAGTTTTTTTAGAGTACATTAATATATATATATTATA